CCGCAGTGAAGAGAACGTCGAGAGTGAGTGATTGTGACGGTAGAAGAAAAAGAGAAGAGATGTTGAAGGATGATCTGGAGAGGAATGTGACGTTGTGCTTCCACAACAGCTTCTGCAGGAATAAAGAAACTAGTTTAGACCCTCTACCTTGTTGAAAGCAAAGGATAAAAGAGAAGAGGTGTTGGAGGACATCCTCCAAGAGCGTTAGAATGGCCACCGATGAGTTGAAAGACACTAAAACTCAGAATAAGGAGTCAATGTTACAGAATGAGGAGATGGAGCAATGACAAAAAGCCGAAAAGCAAGATCCAAAAAGGAGAATGATTAGAAGAATTTACAAGTTTTAGAACTTCTGAACGACGGAACCCAAAAGAAAGAAATTATTGAAAAAGTAACTAAGAAGAAGAAATTGACACTCAGAATTGTTTTTATGCAAGAAAAATTTAAAAGAAAAACGCAACTAAACTTGGAATTGAAACTGAATGAAAGAAAAAGTTTTAGTTGATTTTTTTGAGTTTAAGAATTTGTTGCACTTACAAATTTTCAGGGTATTTTTAGTTAGTGTCTTTAGAGACATTTACTATTTATTAAGAGAGGCTTGAGTGCAAATTGTATTAAAAATACCAGCCTGCATGATCGTTTTTAATCAATTAAGACTGTAAGATATTATTCATTTTGTGGTGACATGAAAGACTTGAGTAATCTCTTGAAGAAGGAGAATAGTTCATTGCTCCTTCTAACCATCAAGTTTCTTAATTTTAATATTCAGGGCCGATTACAACTAGAAATCCAAAGAGAGGAAGCAAAATAGAAAAACTATAGTTTGATAGTTGGCAGGTCTGTCTGGCGGCCCAACACTTTTCAAACCTCAAAGAAGAAGTTTTAAATCGAGACAATGGCACTAAAAGATGTTTTGTTTTGAGTCATGTCCTCAAAAAGCAGATTATTTAAGAAAGCTGGAAAGCTTTAACAGTGTTTTATGATACCATTAGTCATTTGCAGTGAGTCGTTATGAGGTAGATAACATTTTTTTCATGCCCTTTGTAAGTTTTGTTTGATGGCACTGCACCATTTTAATGATTTTCACTGAGGAATTGACCGGGCTGTCCGGGGATTATGTGACATTCGAGCAGAATGGCGGTCAAAATGCATGACGAAATCGAAACTTCATTGAAACAGTTTAGTGGGAGGATTAGTTGTTTCAGAGTATTAACGGTCTTATTTGATAAACTGATCGAATTGGGAGAAGTCGGTTTTAAATGATATGTGAAATTTTAAAAATTAGATTTTACAGACACATGACAATTTTATTTTCACGAATACAGAAATCTATGACAAGAATTAGAATTACGATCGGTAATATTGTTGCAAGAACATTCCAAATTGTAACGATTGTGCAGCTAAAATCGTTACCAAGCAAATCCCGAGAATCCGGAGGGGTATCGGGAGGATTTTACTACCCTTCAAGAAGGACGACAAGACCGCTTTTCGTCCGGATTCATGATTTCGGAAGGGGGTCTCGAGAAGAGACAGAAACTATATATCGAACAATTTTTAGCTTCCTGGTATGTCCTGAGATGAATTTAATTAACAGCCAATTCATTTTCAGAGTATGAGAAGCTAGGAATTGAGGCAAGAGGTTGACCTATCTCCGATGGACATAACGACTTTTATCTACTGAACGAAATTATTAGTATTATGATAATTAAGTAGTAGCCCTGTTTTTAGGAGTGACCTCATAGTCTGGGTATGCTGAGACCCAGCCATGAGCTTATTGTTTTTGCATATAACCGGGTCAATTTGCGCCTTCTGGCCGATAGCCCAAAATAGTAACGACTTTATCGACCCAATGTTAATGAACCACATATAGAACTGGCTTTGGTAGAGAAGGTAAAAAGCATGTAAAGCTGTGCTCAGACGCTAGCCAGTCGTTTCTTTTTCATTCGGTAGCTTTAGTTTTCTTCGGTATGTACTTCCGGGCAAGTGTTACTTTTACCCTCCTCGCTTAGCCTCCATTACAACTCCAGAAGAAGCATCACCGGCAACCAACAACCGAAATCATCAAACTGCCCAACAAAACACAATCTAATATATTGCCCCCAGCAACCACTACAGTCCCATCTGACCCCTGGAAATTTTTCGACTAATAGTTTACATTTGAATAAGCGACATAGATAAATTTGTCGTTAACTGGAAACCGCTCTTCATAGTTCTAAGCAAAAACAAGCCTGGTTTCCAATTCATAGAATTGCAGAACCAGCAGCTGTTGTCGTTAGCCAAAGAAACACCATTTTCTAACGTTGCAAAGAAAACAGCATTGATTCCCACATCTGCTGCTCAACAATTTTAAATCAGAAACAAACGGATCCACTTCCAAAAATCTCAGCCGGATGGCCCAGTCTGGAAACGGATCGAATTTCAAAACTCTCAGCTGGATTTGCCCGGTTGGCCCAGTAGAACCTCCTGTCGCAGCTGTTGCCGGCAGCTGTTGTCATTTGTAAAAAAAAAAACCAGTTTCAAACCTCGCAATGAAAGCAGGATAATTCCCCCTCATCTGTTTTTCCTTAATTTTGAATCAAAAACAAACGGATCGCCTTCCATAACTCTCAGCGGGATAGACCAGTTTGGAAACGGATCCAATCTCAAACTCTTAGCCGGATTTCCCGGGATGGACCAGTAGAACATCCCGATGCAGCTGTTGCCAGCAGCTGTTGTCATTCGTAAAAGAAACACCATATCCCAGCTTCTCAAAAAAAGCAGCAATGATTCCCCACATCTGCTGCTTCCTAAAATTAAATCAGAAAAAAATGGATCATTTTTCAAAACTCTCAGCCGGATTGCCCCGGATGTCTCAGTAGAACCTTCCGACGCACGCTGAAAGCAACGATAAAGACGCTATTGTCGCAATTAACGTAAAAATTAGGATACAAAAACTCCAGAAATTTGAATTTTTAAAATTTCTTTTTGGATTGGAACATATCTGGGAAATACCAAAAACGGATTTTTTTTACTAGAAATTTCCAAATACAACAGCCGATTGCAAGACGACAATCAGTCGTGCGAGAAGACAGATGAAAAAAGTGGAAAAGGAAATTCCAGTTGGACATTTGAGACAGGATCTGAACCTCCTGTGCAACAGAAATTGGAAGATAACAACGTTATCTCTGAGAGAGGTCAAAATTAGAGGTCGAAAAATTTGTCAGCGAACTTCCACTATAATTTTAGCTGCTATAATGCCCTGCACGACATGAATTTAACCCGATTTAAATTCAGTGTTTTCTAGCATAAGCAGTTAGAGGCGAGGAAAGCCTCAATCCATCTCTAATGGAACTGGTTTGAAACTGTCACTAAGAAATACTAATTTTTGTCCTAAGCCGTGTTTTCAAAACTAATCTTATTGTCTGGGGGTTTGAAAACCAACTACGAAATTAAGATCGTATGCAGACCAGAGCTGATCGAAAGTCGTTTTTCTGATAGCCTAAAAATGGTGTTATAGTATTTAGCTCTTAACAGACCAGAAAAAACAACAACTGGCTAGGTGAAAACGGTTAAACACGATTGGGATTACAGTAACAGACGTCAGTCAGTCGTCAAAAAAGACTTTTTCCAAGCTCCGTCACTGTGTAATTTCTGGGCAAATGTTACGGAAAGGGCCTACTAGACGAAACTTTCACTGAAGCGAAACCTCTCCAAATTTGACATTAAAAATAGAAGAAGTGCGAAGTAAACCGGGAAGTTAAACATTTCGATAAACTAATAAGTGCAGGCAAAGTAGCTGCCGCCAATGACTGCCTTTCAGACAAGAAAACAAAAGGAGAACTTCCCCCTAACAAAGTCATTGAAGAAACGGAGTCCTTAGTATCCTGAAGAAAAAAAAACACCTCACTATAACCTGCAACAAAAACTTACTATACAACTGAAGTAATCGATGACACAATGCAAACTAACCCTCTATTTTCGAACAAACTCACGCCAAGACAGTTCGAAAAGCAACCCTGAAAACGCACGGAAGCCACGGTCTCTCAGGTCTAGATGCGTGCGAATCGAGAAGGATATTAACTCACTTCAACCAGACATCCATTGAGATTCGCAAAAAAATTATTGCAAGCTATCCTGTACAAAAGCAAGTAAAGTCCTCCCCCATGAAAACCTAACGGCGTACAACTCGAGTCGTCTGATATCGTGTCGTCTGATCTCGTAAAAATCGTAATAGGTCGAAAATCCAGGGTTAAGGCTTTTTGTTATAGGCGAGGTTCTGAGGCAAATATTTGGCAAAACAATCGTCCAATGTATAAAATCAAACCTTAACAATTTCGGAAAAAATTAACAACTCTGCTTAGGCCAGAAGTTTGGAATCGAATATGCTATTCACGGCTTCAGGAACGAGTTTGAGAAACCGGAAACGAACACCATACTACTTTTTGATGCAGCAAATGTTTGTTGTCAGCTCAGTTACTTTTGTTTGTGATCTCACTCCATGACAGAAACGGGGGATTGTGCCAATAGTATTAAATTGAACTCTAAAAGATAGAGAACGTCGACACAATGTTGCAATGTTGACTATAACAGAGAAAAAATCGTAATTTGAGTTCAACTGTTTCTGGCAAGACGTCATTTATCATTGTCACTAGTGATTGGTTTGATCATTTTACTTAGCGGTTTTTCAGCTTCATTTTTAACCCTATTTTCAATTTTCAATATAAGTCAAATTTTGCAAGTTCGAAAAATAATTTCCTTATTCTTAGTTTTAATTGGATGAAAATTTTTTACGCTTTTTGTTGCGAGATTGGCAGAAAAACTTTCGCGGTTTTTGTAAGAGTTAATTTATGTTTTTTTTCCTCGAATTAAGCTACCATTCACTTCCAAAAAAAATCTTCGACACGGTATACTTATATTGATTCATATCAAATTGGATTTTAAATGGATTCTTATAATAGTTTGGACAACCACAAAAATTACAATAACAGGTATCATTTAACAACTAATAGAAAATGGGTTGATTATTGAGCTAGCATTAAATATTCAAGGGGAAATAGAAATATTAGAAACTATTATAGTCTAAATAAGTTGTTTAGTTCTTTGACCAGTTTTCAATCTTTTTATTCCCGTTTGGATACTTTAAGAAACAGTGGCTTCACTGGATCATAGAAACCAGACTTCATGAACTCTGTCACTTCGGTTGGGGTATCCTTCCCCATCGATAGTTGAAACCTAGAGAGGATCTTGACGAATGCCATTTTCACTTCAAACAGAGCCAGTCGCATTCCGATGCAGTTTCTCGGTCCAATTCCGAATGCGTTGAAAGCGTAGGGTGAGCGGGTCTTGGCCTCCTCCGGGTTGAACCGACTGGGTCTGAAGGTCTCCGGATCTCCCCAAATCTTTGGATCCCGATGAATTACATTCACTGCTACTTCAACTGCATAACCTGAAATAAAAATCCAGTGCTGCTGATTTAAGTTATCCGGACCAACTTTTTTCTTGCAACTGGATAAATCTCTTTAACAAAGTTCACATTGAATTCCGCGGTCTCACCAATAACATAATCGTTGTTGTTTCAATTTTTTAAACTTATTTTGGATGTCAGAGTTCTTTTTTGCTCTTTTGAATAGTCACTAATTGCGCGAATGCTACGAAACAAACATAAAAATGTTTTATCGATCATATCGAATATGCATTTATTGCTGATTTAAATTAACCGGACTCAACGAATAAAATTGTAAATTTTAAACGCGTTTTTCTCAAATTGGGTCAAGATTAGACAAAAAGTGAAGGGAACAAAAGTTGCTGAGAATTTTACCAGAATGAATATATTGTGATTTTTTCCCGAAACTCCTAACTTTAACTGTAATGATTCAATTTGAGAGAAACGCGTTTTAAATTTCAAATTTTGTTAGTTTTTTCCGGATAATTTAAATCAGCACTGTGTTATTCGTAGAATTTTGTTCGAAAAGTTGCCTGTTTTGCATTCCCTTTTTTATGAATTATCCTTATCAATCTTGAACGTTTAAGTTTTTAGATAGATCAATTTAAACTGTTTCAGTTTCAAATAAATTCGGTAGCTTTCGGCCGAGTTACCTTTTTTGATTTTGATGCCTGGTCCGATTGTGGTGTCTGATATGGCTTCCCTTTGCGTCCTGAACACAGACCTCAGTCTTAGAGTCTCCATCACAAAGTTCTCTGCGACACAATCACAAAAATCATTCAGCAAACTGCGTATCAATCATTCAGGTGTTTCACAGGGAGCCGCATTGCCGGAGAGCCGAAAAGACTTTTTGTTCCCGGATAACCCAAAAAGTTCACAATATGTAAACTCAAGCTGTTTACCAAAAGCGGAAAAATTAAACCAGCAATGCAAACCCTACACACAAACTGCATGACCAGCAACGCCCTAATCTATAATGCTTACAGCTTTCAACCGAAAATTCATTGCCGCATAAATAGAGACCAAGCACAACCCGACCTGTAATGGCTATCTGGGAACGGACTTTCTTTTAGGCTATCCGGCAATGCCACCGTTTTCCATGAGTGTTATTTATATTCCAAAGCGGGAAGTTATTAGGCTACTGAAAAATCCCAATAATCAAAGCTACATTGTAAAAGCTCGATATTTCAAGATTGATAAAAAATATTCGAACCCTTGCTGTAATAACAAGCACCAGAGGGTAAATATAGTTTGTGAAAAAATCCTGAGCCTTTTTTCTTGTTCTATCAGATTTGTAAGCATAGTTTAGATTATTGCCGCAAACGCAAAAACAAAAAAACAATAACCAAAACTAGAAAAAACAAGGATTGCCGATTACTGTGGAAGTAGCGCAGAATATTCCGACCATAGTCTTTAAAAAACTACAAGATAAGCTTTTTTTCAAATTAGGTTTTCTGCGTGGGGTGATAAAAATGTCTGATGTAAAACTATATTTTAGGCATAACTGACATCCATAAAAACTCAAGCAAGTTGGACGCAAACAATTTTTTGGAAAATTGATCGGAAAAAAGTTTGAAAAATTCAAAAGATTTTTTTTCAAACTTTTTTTGCAGAAAAAAAATTTCCAAATTTTTTGAAGTTTTTGTTCCCAGCTACAAAATTCCAAAAAAAAAAGTTATTTGCTTAAATTTAAGTTTTTAGTGCTTAAAATTATCCTATTTCAGCTGTTGTGTGCCTGATCGCTTTACTGCTCAAAATTAGACGAAAAAAAGAAAAATTTTAAACCGGTTTTTCTCAACACTAAGCAAAAAGTTTGAAAATTTTTAATGTGGTTCGAATTACAACTAAAAGGGCTCTAATATGAAATATCACTGAACCCAGTCCGATTATTATTTGGGGTACCTGGTTTTGCATGGGAAACAAAAAAACTAAAACACACCCGTATAGAAAGTTCCTCCCTCCCCATTTTCAATGAGAATGGCCACCGATGAGTTGAAAGACACTAAAACTCAGAATAAGGAGTCAATGTTACAGAATGAGGAGATGGAGCAATGACAAAAAGCCGAAAAGCAAGATCCAAAAAGGAGAATGATTAGAAGAATTTACAAGTTTTAGAACTTCTGAACGACGGAACCCAAAAGAAAGAAATTATTGAAAAAGTAACTAAGAAGAAGAAATTGACACTCAGAATTGTTTTTATGCAAGAAAAATTTAAAAGAAAAACGCAACTAAACTTGGAATTGAAACTGAATGAAAGAAAAAGTTTTAGTTGATTTTTTTGAGTTTAAGAATTTGTTGCACTTACAAATTTTCAGGGTATTTTTAGTTAGTGTCTTTAGAGACACTTACTATTTATTAAGAGAGGCTTGAGTGCAAATTGTATTAAAAATACCAGCCTGCATGATCGTTTTTAATCAATTAAGACTGTAAGATATTATTCATTTTGTGGTGACATGAAAGACTTGAGTAATCTCTTGAAGAAGGAGAATAGTTCATTGCTCCTTCTAACCATCAAGTTTCTTAATTTTAATATTCAGGGCCGATTACAACTAGAAATCCAAAGAGAGGAAGCAAAATAGAAAAACTATAGTTTGATAGTTGGCAGGTCTGTCTGGCGGCCCAACACTTTTCAAACCTCAAAGAAGAAGTTTTAAATCGAGACAATGGCACTAAAAGATGTTTTGTTTTGAGTCATGTCCTCAAAAAGCAGATTATTTAAGAAAGCTGGAAAGCTTTAACAGTGTTTTATGATACCATTAGTCATTTGCAGTGAGTCGTTATGAGGTAGATAACATTTTTTTCATGCCCTTTGTAAGTTTTGTTTGATGGCACTGCACCATTTTAATGATTTTCACTGAGGAATTGACCGGGCTGTCCGGGGATTATGTGACATTCGAGCAGAATGGCGGTCAAAATGCATGACGAAATCGAAACTTCATTGAAACAGTTTAGTGGGAGGATTAGTTGTTTCAGAGTATTAACGGTCTTATTTGATAAACTGATCGAATTGGGAGAAGTCGGTTTTAAATGATATGTGAAATTTTAAAAATTAGATTTTACAGACACATGACAATTTTATTTTCACGAATACAGAAATCTATGACAAGAATTAGAATTACGATCGGTAATATTGTTGCAAGAACATTCCAAATTGTAACGATTGTGCAGCTAAAATCGTTACCAAGCAAATCCCGAGAATCCGGAGGGGTATCGGGAGGATTTTACTACCCTTCAAGAAGGACGACAAGACCGCTTTTCGTCCGGATTCATGATTTCGGAAGGGGGTCTCGAGAAGAGACAGAAACTATATATCGAACAATTTTTAGCTTCCTGGTATGTCCTGAGATGAATTTAATTAACAGCCAATTCATTTTCAGAGTATGAGAAGCTAGGAATTGAGGCAAGAGGTTGACCTATCTCCGATGGACATAACGACTTTTATCTACTGAACGAAATTATTAGTATTATGATAATTAAGTAGTAGCCCTGTTTTTAGGAGTGACCTCATAGTCTGGGTATGCTGAGACCCAGCCATGAGCTTATTGTTTTTGCATATAACCGGGTCAATTTGCGCCTTCTGGCCGATAGCCCAAAATAGTAACGACTTTATCGACCCAATGTTAATGAACCACATATAGAACTGGCTTTGGTAGAGAAGGTAAAAAGCATGTAAAGCTGTGCTCAGACGCTAGCCAGTCGTTTCTTTTTCATTCGGTAGCTTTAGTTTTCTTCGGTATGTACTTCCGGGCAAGTGTTACTTTTACCCTCCTCGCTTAGCCTCCATTACAACTCCAGAAGAAGCATCACCGGCAACCAACAACCGAAATCATCAAACTGCCCAACAAAACACAATCTAATCTATTGCCCCCAGCAACCACTACAGTCCCATCTGACCCCTGGAAATTTTTCGACTAATAGTTTACATTTGAATAAGCGACATAGATAAATTTGTCGTTAACTGGAAACCGCTCTTCATAGTTCTAAGCAAAAACAAGCCTGGTTTCCAATTCATAGAATTGCAGAACCAGCAGCTGTTGTCGTTAGCCAAAGAAACACCATTTTCTAACGTTGCAAAGAAAACAGCATTGATTCCCACATCTGCTGCTCAACAATTTTAAATCAGAAACAAACGGATCCACTTCCAAAAATCTCAGCCGGATGGCCCAGTCTGGAAACGGATCGAATTTCAAAACTCTCAGCTGGATTTGCCCGGTTGGCCCAGTAGAACCTCCTGTCGCAGCTGTTGCCGGCAGCTGTTGTCATTTGTAAAAAAAAACCAGTTTCAAACCTCGCAATGAAAGCAGGATAATTCCCCCTCATCTGTTTTTCCTTAATTTTGAATCAAAAACAAACGGATCGCCTTCCATAACTCTCAGCGGGATAGACCAGTTTGGAAACGGATCCAATCTCAAACTCTTAGCCGGATTTCCCGGGATGGACCAGTAGAACATCCCGATGCAGCTGTTGCCAGCAGCTGTTGTCATTCGTAAAAGAAACACCATATCCCAGCTTCTCAAAAAAAGCAGCAATGATTCCCCACATCTGCTGCTTCCTAAAATTAAATCAGAAAAAAACGGATCATTTTTCAAAACTCTCAGCCGGATTGCCCCGGATGTCTCAGTAGAACCTTCCGACGCACGCTGAAAGCAACGATAAAGACGCTATTGTCGCAATTAACGTAAAAATTAGGATACAAAAACTCCAGAAATTTGAATTTTTAAAATTTCTTTTTGGATTGGAACATATCTGGGAAATACCAAAAACGGATTTTTTTTACTAGAAATTTCCAAATACAACAGCCGATTGCAAGACGACAATCAGTCGTGCGAGAAGACAGATGAAAAAAGTGGAAAAGGAAATTCCAGTTGGACATTTGAGACAGGATCTGAACCTCCTGTGCAACAGAAATTGGAAGATAACAACGTTATCTCTGAGAGAGGTCAAAATTAGAGGTCGAAAAATTTGTCAGCGAACTTCCACTATAATTTTAGCTGCTATAATGCCCTGCACGACATGAATTTAACCCGATTTAAATTCAGTGTTTTCTAGCATAAGCAGTTAGAGGCGAGGAAAGCCTCAATCCATCTCTAATGGAACTGGTTTGAAACTGTCACTAAGAAATACTAATTTTTGTCCTAAGCCGTGTTTTCAAAACTAATCTTATTGTCTGGGGGTTTGAAAACCAACTACGAAATTAAGATCGTATGCAGACCAGAGCTGATCGAAAGTCGTTTTTCTGATAGCCTAAAAATGGTGTTATAGTATTTAGCTCTTAACAGACCAGAAAAAACAACAACTGGCTAGGTGAAAACGGTTAAACACGATTGGGATTACAGTAACAGACGTCAGTCAGTCGTCAAAAAAGACTTTTTCCAAGCTCCGTCACTGTGTAATTTCTGGGCAAATGTTACGGAAAGGGCCTACTAGACGAAACTTTCACTGAAGCGAAACCCCTCCAAATTTGACATTAAAAATAGAAGAAGTGCGAAGTAAACCGGGAAGTTAAACATTTCGATAAACTAATAAGTGCAGGCAAAGTAGCTGCCGCCAATGACTGCCTTTCAGACAAGAAAACAAAAGGAGAACTTCCCCCTAACAAAGTCATTGAAGAAACGGAGTCCTTAGTATCCTGAAGAAAAAAAAACACCTCACTATAACCTGCAACAAAAACTTACTATACAACTGAAGTAATCGATGACACAATGCAAACTAACCCTCTATTTTCGAACAAACTCACGCCAAGACAGTTCGAAAAGCAACCCTGAAAACGCACGGAAGCCACGGTCTCTCAGGTCTAGATGCGTGCGAATCGAGAAGGATATTAACTCACTTCAACCAGACATCCATTGAGATTCGCAAAAAAAACATTGCAAGCTATCCTGTACAAAAGCAAGTAAAGTCCTCCCCCATGAAAACCTAACGGCGTACAACTCGAGTCGTCTGATATCGTGTCGTCTGATCTCGTAAAAATCGTAATAGGTCGAAAATCCAGGGTTAAGGCTTTTTGTTATAGGCGAGGTTCTGAGGCAAATATTTGGCAAAACAATCGTCCAATGTATAAAATCAAACCTTAACAATTTCGGAAAAAATTAACAACTCTGCTTAGGCCAGAAGTTTGGAATCGAATATGCTATTCACGGCTTCAGGAACGAGTTTGAGAAACCGGAAACGAACACCATACTACTTTTTGATGCAGCAAATGTTTGTTGTCAGCTCAGTTACTTTTGTTTGTGATCTCACTCCATGACAGAAACGGGGGATTGTGCCAATAGTATTAAATTGAACTCTAAAAGATAGAGAACGTCGACACAATGTTGCAATGTTGACTATAACAGAGAAAAAAATCGTAATTTGAGTTCAACTGTTTCTGGCAAGACGTCATTTATCATTGTCACTAGTGATTGGTTTGATCATTTTACTTAGCGGTTTTTCAGCTTCATTTTTAACCCTATTTTCAATTTTCAATATAAGTCAAATTTTGCAAGTTCGAAAAATAATTTCCTTATTCTTAGTTTTAATTGGATGAAAATTTTTTACGCTTTTTGTTGCGAGATTGGCAGAAAAACTTTCGCGGTTTTTGTAAGAGTTAATTTATGTTTTTTTTCCTCGAATTAAGCTACCATTCACTTCCAAAAAAAATCTTCGACACGGTATACTTATATTGATTCATATCAAATTGGATTTTAAATGGATTCTTATAATAGTTTGGACAACCACAAAAATTACAATAACAGGTATCATTTAACAACTAATAGAAAATGGGTTGATTATTGAGCTAGCATTAAATATTCAAGGGGAAATAGAAATATTAGAAACTATTATAGTCTAAATAAGTTGTTTAGTTCTTTGACCAGTTTTCAATCTTTTTATTCCCGTTTGGATACTTTAAGAAACAGTGGCTTCACTGGATCATAGAAACCAGACTTCATGAACTCTGTCACTTCGGTTGGGGTATCCTTCCCCATCGATAGTTGAAACCTAGAGAGGATCTTGACGAATGCCATTTTCACTTCAAACAGAGCCAGTCGCATTCCGATGCAGTTTCTCGGTCCAATTCCGAATGCGTTGAAAGCGTAGGGTGAGCGGGTCTTGGCCTCCTCCGGGTTGAACCGACTGGGTCTGAAGGTCTCCGGATCTCCCCAAATCTTTGGATCCCGATGAATTACATTCACTGCTACTTCAACTGCATAACCTGAAATAAAAATCCAGTGCTGCTGATTTAAGTTATCCGGACCAACTTTTTTCTTGCAACTGGATAAATCTCTTTAACAAAGTTCACATTGAATTCCGCGGTCTCACCAATAACATAATCGTTGTTGTTTCAATTTTTTAAACTTATTTTGGATGTCAGAGTTCTTTTTTGCTCTTTTGAATAGTCACTAATTGCGCGAATGCTACGAAACAAACATAAAAATGTTTTATCGATCATATCGAATATGCATTTATTGCTGATTTAAATTAACCGGACTCAACGAATAAAATTGTAAATTTTAAACGCGTTTTTCTCAAATTGGGTCAAGATTAGACAAAAAGTGAAGGGAACAAAAGTTGCTGAGAATTTTACCAGAATGAATATATTGTGATTTTTTCCCGAAACTCCTAACTTTAACTGTAATGATTCAATTTGAGAGAAACGCGTTTTAAATTTCAAATTTTGTTAGTTTTTTCCGGATAATTTAAATCAGCACTGTGTTATTCGTAGAATTTTGTTCGAAAAGTTGCCTGTTTTGCATTCCCTTTTTTATGAATTATCCTTATCAATCTTGAACGTTTAAGTTTTTAGATAGATCAATTTAAACTGTTTCAGTTTCAAATAAATTCGGTAGCTTTCGGCCGAGTTACCTTTTTTGATTTTGATGCCTGGTCCGATTGTGGTGTCTGATATGGCTTCCCTTTGCGTCCTGAACACAGACCTCAGTCTTAGAGTCTCCATCACAAAGTTCTCTGCGACACAATCACAAAAATCATTCAGCAAACTGCGTATCAATCATTCAGGTGTTTCACAGGGAGCCGCATTGCCGGAGAGCCGAAAAGACTTTTTGTTCCCGGATAACCCAAAAAGTTCACAATATGTAAACTCAAGCTGTTTACCAAAAGCGGAAAAATTAAACCAGCAATGCAAACCCTACACACAAACTGCATGACCAGCAACGCCCTAATCTATAATGCTTACAGCTTTCAACCGAAAATTCATTGCCGCATAAATAGAGACCAAGCACAACCCGACCTGTAATGGCTATCTGGGAACGGACTTTCTTTTAGGCTATCCGGCAATGCCACCGTTTTCCATGAGTGTTATTTATATTCCAAAGCGGGAAGTTATTAGGCTACTGAAAAATCCCAATAATCAAAGCTACATTGTAAAAGCTCGATATTTCAAGATTGATAAAAAATATTCGAACCCTTGCTGTAATAACAAGCACCAGAGGGTAAATATAGTTTGTGAAAAAATCCTGAGCCTTTTTTCTTGTTCTATCAGATTTGTAAGCATAGTTTAGATTATTGCCGCAAACGCAAAAACAAAAAAACAATAACCAAAACTAGAAAAAACAAGGATTGCCGATTACTGTGGAAGTAGCGCAGAATATTCCGACCATAGTCTTTAAAAAACTACAAGATAAGCTTTTTTTCAAATTAGGTTTTCTGCGTGGGGTGATAAAAATGTCTGATGTAAAACTATATTTTAGGCATAACTGACATCCATAAAAACTCAAGCAAGTTGGACGCAAACAATTTTTTGGAAAATTGATCGGAAAAAAGTTTGAAAAATTCAAAAGATTTTTTTTCAAACTTTTTTTGCAGAAAAAAAATTTCCAAATTTTTTGAAGTTTTTGTTCCCAGCTACAAAATTCCAAAAAAAAAAGTTATTTGCTTAAATTTAAGTTTTTAGTGCTTAAAATTATCCTATTTCAGCTGTTGTGTGCCTGATCGCTTTACTGCTCAAAATTAGACGAAAAAAAGAAAAATTTTAAACCGGTTTTTCTCAACACTAAGCAAAAAGTTTGAAAATTTTTAATGTGGTTCGAATTACAACTAAAAGGGCTCTAATATGAAATATCACTGAACCCAGTCCGATTATTATTTGGGGTACCTGGTTTTGCATGGGAAACAAAAAAACTAAAACACACCCGTATAGAAAGTTCCTCCCTCCCCATTTTCAATGCTCGGAACAATTATAACGACAGACAAAAAAATGTGAAAGCACTTGTAAGAAGCAAGACAAAGAATTCTACCATCAGAAATTAGTAGCGCAAAAAAGGATATAAAAAATTTTTAAATGATGTCGAAAAGCCAAAAAAACATCCGGAAAAAATGAAAACTCAAAATTTTGGACGGCTTAATCTCAAGTTAGATTTAATCAAAATTCAACGAAGCAGAAAATAAGAGTAGTGCTGCAGTCAATAGATTAACCAGAAGTTGACAAATTGCTGACATGTATTATACCTTAAATTAGCTCGGACTGTTTTGACTTCAACTGTGTATATCTGAAGCGAAAGCCATCCCCATGTTCTGGCACTCATATCACCGCGTCAATAAAAGTCAACGAAATGCAGAATGGCTTACATTACCTCAGACTATTCCTTTTTACGATGAAGGTTGTCATTCCGAACCAGAAATTTTAATTTTATCTCAAAAAACTTTCAAAGGGGTATGAGCTTTAACATGATTCTCATTATGGTTGGAGTGAGATTAAACTTCTTGACCATACAGCAAAACGGGACCTCTCCTTCAATCACTCTTGCCTTTCTCACTCTGTTGCTGATACGCACCGACAAGCATGCGAGTTTCGACGATACAGTCTTAACCACTTCCTGAGTTGATGATAAATCTTGCTCTTGCCAACTTAGTACCACTCTTGACAATGATCCTGGCTCGCTTCGATTCCAAACTCCTTTTACGGGCTATCGAATTTTTCGAACTCCCTGATGCTGGAATTAAGGACTGGTTTTGTCTCTGGCTGATTATCATGACTTTCCGTAACCAAATTGCTCTCTTGTACCCGCAGCGGTCCCCTCGTTTCATCCAACTACATTTCTAATTATTGTACCCTTGAGTTTCACAATTAGTTGGCGATTATGGCGTTGCGCTCCTGTTCTCAATTTTTTATCACGTCACGGTCCTTGATGATCATCTTCTGTTTTCTAGTCGCCATGGAATCTCCCATTATAGCCGCAAATCTGTACAATGGGTTTTTTAAGTACTGGTGGTCTTGTCCTCGCCAAATCTGAAATTGGGATCGCTCCTTCCTTCTTCCCAACTTGTTAATATTTTTTATTGACTTGTTATTCACTCCCTTGACGTTCAGAAACTCGTACAACTCCTCGGACCTTTCTGCGAGCACTGTGTTCAATCGAATTCTATAGCCCGTTTTCTTTTGCAACGTTTGCAATTGGCCGGCTAGTCCTGTCCTCAACTGTGCGCAGTCTGAGCTTCTACTCCAGGAATTTGACTATGATAAGCCTGTAGTCTGTGGTAATTGCTGTATGTCCAACATCTTGGTTCGTTTCTTTCAGTTTTCAACCAAAACGTCACTCCTGAGGTTCTTGATCTCCTTGTCGTCCAAACGAGGCTGGTACAGAAACAACTCATCTATACTGCGGGTGGTAACTTTCAGGACACCTTCAAGCCCAGACCTTGGAACAAGTCACGAACCATATATGTTTTCCTTTTTCATACACCACTGTCCAGAAAATGATCTCTCAACAGCCGACCATGGACTTGGGTATCGCATATCATAGTGCCGTGATTCTGGTTGTCATGCTGGTTCTATTCGTGTGTTACCCTGTCTGGTCTGATTTTTGCCAAAACGCCTAATAAGAGTTTTCTTTGGTTATTGCTGCCATATGTCGTGACATCAAGCTCGTAGTACTGCCACTGTCCACTACAATTATAAATTCATTATTGTCTACTTGTAATCGTGTCTTGATGAAAATGCTTTGAATGCCTCTATCTTTTGGCATTTCGTACTGGAATAATCAGTTCTTCCACTACTCCAATATGGGATCTTCGATTCTTCCACTACTTTTGACCCTTAGCTCACTTCATAAATTGTTTTCACACCATAACCATCCGATGACACCGAATCGTAAAGTTGTAACTGTTTTCCAACCCTAAAAGATTCGTTGATTCTTCATCATAATCTATCTCGTTCTGGCGATTGTCTTGTTTTTTAACATCGACATGATAAACTTTGCCACGGAACGGAGGTCTAGTTTCGCGTCCACCTCTCGACAAACTTCGTAGTCCTCTGCCACTCGAGTTAGCACTAGATAGGCCTTGTCGGCTTTTACACCTACATGTCATAGAAAAGTGATTCTTCATGCCAGATTTCCTGCAATCTTGACCAATGGCAGGGCAAAATTGAAATGGCTGCGCCGGCCACGAGTTTTCGCATGCATTGCACGGATTCCTTCGTCGACTCCCACTTCTTCGTTGCACGAAGTTCAGATCTCTGCTCAATGGGTTACTGTATCGGCCATCATCTCTGAATCAATATGTTCTTCTGTGTTTGCTCTAATTGCATTGTTTACTTCTCGAGAGTAATAATTTCCTTCATGAGTTACCTTAATTCTCTGAGTTTGACAGAATTTCTACGATTATATCACGTCTTCTTCTGCCCTGAACTCGCAGTGGTTTTTCAGGCCCCTCAGGTGACATTAAAAAAAGCTGCGTTAAATCACATTTTGCTGGTACTACACGTATTTTTCAAACTTTCGATTTCTCGGTTTTCTGGAAACCACTTCCAAATACTGCCAAAACGTCATCATTGTATGGAGCCGTCGTTAGTATCTACCCTCGGATAACGTCTCGCAAAGTAATTTTCTGCCACTCTTCTAAGTGAAAGAAAAACAATTGACTTCGCTATTCTCTTCGCCGTATCCCATGGAAAGTTATCACATAATACTCCTCTTTTTCGCGCCTCTTCACTTTTGTTTTCCCATCTTGTTCCAGACTGTTTGTTTCGAATGTTACCATCTCTTTAATTCACAGCCGTTTCACTATCTACGGCCAGTTTCTCTACTAGAGTTACCGATAAGACAAATGCTGTCGGTTTTCATCTTGATAATGTATTCAAGGTCATTCTTGTCTTCGCAAATATGTTCAATTTCAAACTATTGCTTCGTCGTCCCACTCCGTAGGTGGTTGGGTCGTCTGAGAGTCCCGAAAGCTCAATTTCATAGGGAACTTTTTGCGTCAACTGGTCTAAGAAGTGTGCCATGAAGTTAGCGTAAACTACTATTGTGATAATGTATCTTACGTAACGAAATCAAATGGTGATTCGAAAGAGTTAATAAGAACTGTGCTATCAACGTGAATTCATTCAAACATACTGTTTCAGATAAGATCATAACGACATCTAAACATGGTAATATCGAGCATAGTTTGGCCAATTACCATCAATTGGAACTATAACTTTTTTCGTTAATACGAAATCTGTGCTAACACAAGACAATAGCACCACCACAATGATAATCAACAAAAGACACCCAGCCAAACAGCTAAAATCCAGTGCGAAAAAAAACAACACAAAAACGGCCTTAATTAAAATATAAAATTGTTCAATTCCTCTATACAAAACCATGGTGGTTTTGAAAGCAACCAAAAAAACTTACCAAATATAACAACCAAAAAAATTAACCAAAAAATCTCGAAACCAACCACAGCTTTTGGATAATTTTGTAAGGAGAAGTGATGACATGGCGAATCTCATATTCAATTAAGCTAGCCAAAAGCTACGGAAAATTTAACTGCGGAGCAATATATATCGTCTGCTTTTCTTTTGTTGATCGTTTTTTGCCTGAAATCTTTAATTTTTACAAATTTGAAGAAATTGAGAAAAGCTTCAGCTCAGTAACTTTTGGAAACGAGTCATTAAGTCTAATGACGTTATATCAGGCTTGGAAGCTGCACTTTTAATAAACTTGTTCTATATTACTAATTTCGCAATTCATCATGATTATTGTTATTAAAACTCGTTGATTCATTGGTACGAAGTTTTAGAACATTTTTATCAAGTTCGAACCTAATAATTGCATCTTGTTAACGTTTTCGTAAGTGTCGTCCTCTGCGTCTGGTCCAGCTAGGGAACAAATCTCAGTGTACACTTCTTCTTGTAATTCTGGATACAGAGCAAGGTAGTAACTGACCCACATCAACAGATTGGCAGTGGTGTCAAATCCCGCCAGCAGGAAGATGAGTGCCTAGGCAGACAAAATAAGCCATTTTATCGCTTATAAATTGGAAATATTTGCAATAAATTGGAAACATTTGAAGGCCTCCAAAAAGTATCATAAATCTTGTCGGATGCATGTATAATCAAATCAGAATTTCTCATTTTATAATAAGATTAGCCCGAAAATGCACAATGTACTTAGAAGATAATGTTAAAAAGTTACCTTTAAATCGCTTTTTCAACCCATTTGAAAAGCAAAAAAAAAAGTTTCGTCAACACTTTGAATACTTGAGACAACCGTTTTATCCGGACATTTTACTCGCTTCTTCCATATACTCCCCCTTCTTGTTGCTGTTGTTGTTTTTCTTCTTAGTCTTCTTTTTCTTCTTCTTCTTCTTCTTCGTCTTCTTCTGCTTCTCTCTCTCTCTCTCTCTCTCTCTCTCTATCTCACACACACATACAAATTGACATACCTGTGCGACTGTGGTCTCGAAGTCCAGCCCCTCCTTGCCCTTTGTGGCCTGGTGCAGTTCGAACTTCTCCACCAGAGTGTGTAGGAAGAAGGTGCGCTCTGCGTCATCCTTGCCCTCCTGCTTCTTCTACAACAGCACATGTGGCTCATAGGGACACTTCACATTCCATCAACAACCCTATGCCCACCCAATTTCTTCCTTCCGCCACATGTTATATATGAAAGCCCCGAATTAAATTTGAGCAAGAAGTTATATATACAGACGTCCTGCTTCGGTGTTAACTCAACGCAGTTATGAAACGAGTCTTGAAACTGATTTCAAAATCTTATAAAAATTCAAATTTTTCCACACTCCAAAGTTCACTCCAAATTTCTCAGAAAATGTGACAGCATAGTAAAACGATAACACAAAATATTAACTATGTTATAATTAACTAACCTGTAGTATGTCCAGCATGATTTTGGCGGTGACGTCTCCGGCGTCTACGTTGAAGCCCAAGTTGGGTTCAAATATGCCCCACAGTTTAGCCAGTCCAGGCACCACGAACGGTAAAATACGCAAGGGGTTCTTGAATAGCTGCTCGTTTTTAAGTGTCATATTCATGCACGCATTTGCTATTTCGTTCTCACCCGCCTAAACATCTTCATTCAATTTTTAACTGAATTGCTGGAACAACAAAAAAGAATAAAGACTAGTAGCTTATTTTAAATATATTACGAATGCTGGAAAAAGTGGAAAAAAAGTTCGTTGAAAATTCAAGAAACTCATCACCCTAAGTTTCGACGTTCTAACATTTAGCGAATGAATTGAATGAAAAATCAAAAAATCAAAAAGAGCTCATATCAATAATCATCAACTTTGATCATAGAATCACTCTTGCAGAACTTGGCATTAGGGTAAGGTTGAACGGATAACATGGCATAGGATATTTTGGAATCGCATAATATGTCCTACTAATTTCTTGTCTCACACAAATCATGAAATTGTTAGTACTCTCAAATTAATATCAACATATATTAATATAAGTTTAAAATATAGACAAAAATGTTTTTCCTTTTGATTCTTTCGGTCACCTGTGAGTCGACACTTATTCCAAAAACAATGTTCAAAATGATATCCATCGTGCATGATCGGAACATTGGCTTCAATTCAAATTCTTGGGCACTAGTTTCCAGAATTCGCTCAAACTTCCCGCCAAGATGGATTCCAATTTCGTTCATGAAGGGTACCATCTTTTTCAATTTGAGGCCGGTGAAAGTCGGCGTTAGTGCATTTCTAACTTTCTTCCACTCCTCACCTCGTAAATCGGAAATGTTTTTGCGAAAATACTTCGGTTCGAATCCCTTCACCTCAGTTCGATTCGGGAACAAGTCGAACTTTTTGATCATAACTTCTGCAATTATATCTGGGTCCGTAACAACTAGGGATGGCTTGCTTCCATAGAAGATCCTAAAAAAAACACGTGTATGAATCACGCACATAATAAACTGGCTTTTGTTTTCGTTTGTGGCATTATGAGCGAACTTGAACTTACCCATAATATCCTTTAGATCCAAATTGCTTGTGTTCCTCGACCTCCATGTCAAAGAAGTCTTTACACGTCATCCAAGCCAGCATGTTACCCACAACAGGATATGGCTTTGGTCCAGGTATACCCTGTGTTTTCCAGACACCATAAGTGGACTGGTAATAGAATCGGAAGCAAAGCACTGCCCCTAACACTGACCCACCCACCCACACCCATCTTGGAACATTCTGTACCCCCTTCCTCGCCAAACTCTCACCCCACCACGCTAGCAGCTCATCTACACTCTGTTGAACGGAGGTGGGCAAGGAAGGCAGAGAAGGAATTTTCAAGTTCAATGTCATAACTTCATAGTAAATTTAAAATAACGTAGCTCAAATGTTGTTGAAATGATCAGGAATTGGAGTTGAGTCAAACGTCATAAGTTATATTATAGAGAGTGAATGCTATAAGAGTAAGGCAAATTAAAAGCTTGATGGTAGAAACAGGTTATGGCTCTGCTAGAATAACATAGTCGGTTTGAGGCGGAGAACAGCTCAATAGTATTCTAAAGACTTATGATTATAGAAAACCTTTTTGGGCTTCGCTTCTGAAACTATCAGATATTTCAGCAGGGAACTAAATATAGTTACCTTATGCGCAGTATTTAACACTGCGTTTACCATATAGAGTAAGGCAATGAAGCTATGAAATGGGTTGCAAACTGCAGTGGTAATACTATGCTAAAAACTATGCAGTTGTATTTCCATTTATGAAAAAAAAGCGCGCATTGCTCCTACCAATTATGGACATTACATGATTCAATTGGTGGCATATAAACAAACAAACCATTTTTTGTGCACCAAATACTGCATACCGACAAATAAAATTTTAAAAATAACTGTGGTAGATATCAATATGCGTCTCTTATTCAATCATTTTGAATTATTGGTCCACATGTTATAAGAGAGAGAATTAATTGTCGTGTGAGATTGGTTTCTTCGCAAAATTTTTCTTGCTTCAAAAAAACTCGTATTAAAAGATATTGAAGCTTTTGAATATTATCATTTTGGATTACAAAACCGTGATTAAAATTCACTGTGACTAGAAAAACTGGGCTGATTTTTGGCTATTATAGAAATAATAATTATCATAATAAATAGTTTAAGTCATCACACGTACAGAATTACAAATGAAGAATTTATTTTTACAAAAAAATATCACTTGAGATACCGCCGTAAGACTAAATTAAGCCTGTTTTCAGGCGTCTCAGAGCCTGTTTTCAGGCTACTTTTTTTGGTACCCTTAAATTTAAGGGGAAAGAAAACCATGGCATGAGAACCCAGCTTGATCGCAAAAAAAACGGTAAATATTTTACCGTTTTATCGAAATTGCGAGATTACCAGAACATTTCCTAATAAAAATCATAATCATAATAATGATTTTTAAAAATAATGTCAAAACAGTGAAGGAGGCAAATCCAGAATTATTATAATTTAACTACAAAACAGATTGTTTATCAGATCACTATTAGCTTGAATAAAATTATCTAGAAATTGATGGTTGAGGTTGTTTAGTTCCTGCTTAGTCAAACTTTTTATCAATTTGTAAAACTGAGAATCAAAAAGAGCAAACTGCCGAAGTGTAACGTGTTTTTGGCAGCAATCGAGTGTATTACGACAGTTCTCGCTTTGTTTCTTTTAGCTGAAATTTTCTGTTCCTTTTCTTAAGTAAACAATTTTTGTGAGATTTCAGATTGGCATTCATTACTTTGCAAAAAAACTTTTAGCAGTTCATAAGTGAGTAATTATTTAATGAAAAAATTCTTTTTTGTTGTTTTATAATCTTTTTTGATTCGAATTGTCGGGAACAAGTCGAACTTTTTGATCATAACTTCTGCAATTATATCTGGGTCCGTAACAACTAGGGATGGCTTGCTTCCATAGAAGATCCTAAAAAAAACACGTGTATGAATCACGCACATAATAAACTGGCTTTTGTTTTCGTTTGTGGCATTATGAGCGAACTTGAACTTACCCATAATATCCTTTAGATCCAAATTGCTTGTGTTCCTCGACCTCCATGTCAAAGAAGTCTTTACACGTCATCCAAGCCAGCATGTTACCCACAACAGGATATGGCTTTGGTCCAGGTATACCCTGTGTTTTCCAGACACCATAAGTGGACTGGTAATAGAATCGGAAGCAAAGCACTGCCCCTAACACTGACCCACCCACCCACACCCATCTTGGAACATTCTGTACCCCCTTCCTCGCCAAACTCTCACACCACCACGCTAGCAGCTCATCTACACTCTGTTGAACGGAGGTGGGCAAGGAAGGCAGAGAAGGAAATTTCAAGTTCAAATTCATAACTTCATAGCAAATTTAAAATAACGTAGCTCAAATGTTGTTGAAATGATCAGGAATTGGAATTGAGTCAAACGTCATAAGTTATATTATAGAGAGTGAATGCTATAAGAGTAAGGCAAATTAAAAGCTTGATGGTAGAAACAGGTTATGGCTCTGCTAGAATAACATAGTCGGTTTGAGGCGGAGAACAGCTCAATAGTATTCTAAAGACTTATGATTATAGAAAACCTTTTTGGGCTTCGCTTCTGAAACTATCAGATATTTCAGCAGGGAACTAAATATAGTTACCTTATGCGCAGTATTTAACACTGCGTTTACCATATAGACTAAGGCAATGAAGCTATGAAATGGGTTGCAAACTGCAGTGGTAATACTATGCTAAAAACTATGCAGTTGTATTTCCATTTATGAAAAAAAAGCGCGCATTGCTCCTACCAATTATGGACATTACATGATTCAATTGGTGGCATATAAACAAACAAACCATTTTTTGTGCACCAAATACTGCATACCGACAAATAAAATTTTAAAAATAACTGTGGTAGATATCAATATGCGTCTCTTATTCAATCATTTTGAATTATTGGTCAACATGTTATAAGAGAGAGAATTAATTGTCGTGTGAGATTGGTTTCTTCGCAAAATTTTTCTTGCTTCAAAAAAACTCGTATTAAAAGATATTGAAGCTTTTGAATATTATCATTTTGGATTACAAAACCGTGATTAAAATTCACTGTGACTAGAAAAACTGGGCTGATTTTTGGCTATTATAGAAATAATAATTATCATAATAAATAGTTTAAGTCATCACACGTACAGAATTACAAATGAAGAATTTATTTTTACAAAAAAATATCACTTGAGATACCGCCGTAAGACTAAATTAAGCCTGTTTTCAGGCGTCTCAGAGCCTGTTTTCAGGCTACTTTTTTTGGTACCCTTAAATTTAAGGGGAAAGAAAACCATGGCATGAGAACCCAGCTTGATCGCAAAAAAAACGGTAAATATTTTACCGTTTTATCGAAATTGCGAGATTACCAGAACATTTCCTAATAAAAATCATAATCATAATAATGATTTTTAAAAATAATGTCAAAACAGTGAAGGAGGCAAATCCAGAATTATTATAATTTAACTACAAAACAGATTGTTTATCAGATCACTATTAGCTTGAATAAAATTATCTAGAAATTGATGGTTGAGGTTGTTTAGTTCCTGCTTAGTCAAACTTTTTATCAATTTGTAAAACTGAGAATCAAAAAGAGCAAACTGCCGAAGTGTAACGTGTTTTTGGCAGCAATCGAGTGTATTACGACAGTTCTCGCTTTGTTTCTTTTAGCTGAAATTTTCTGTTCCTTTTCTTAAGTAAACAATTTTTGTGAGATTTCAGATTGGCATTCATTACTTTGCAAAAAAACTTTTAGCAGTTCATAAGTGAGTAATTATTTAATGAAAAAATTTTTTTTTGTTGTTTTATAATCTTTTTTGATTCGAATTGTCGGGAACAAGTCGAACTTTTTGATCATAACTTCTGCAATTATATCTGGGTCCGTAACAACTAGGGATGGCTTGCTTCCATAGAAGATCCTAAAAAAAACACGTGTATGAATCACGCACATAATAAACTGGCTTTTGTTTTCGTTTGTGGCATTATGAGCGAACTTGAACTTACCCATAATATCCTTTAGATCCAAATTGCTTGTGTTCCTCGACCTCCATGTCAAAGAAGTCTTTACACGTCATCCAAGCCAGCATGTTACCCACAACAGGATATGGCTTTGGTCCAGGTATACCCTGTGTTTTCCAGACACCATAAGTGGACTGGTAATAGAATCGGAAGCAAAGCACTGCCCCTAACACTGACCCACCCACCCACACCCATCTTGGAACATTCTGTACCCCCTTCCTCGCCAAACTCTCACCCCACCACGCTAGCAGCTCATCTACACTCTGTTGAACGGAGGTGGGCAAGGAAGGCAGAGAAGGAAATTTCAAGTTCAAATTCATAACTTCATAGCAAATTTAAAATAACGTTGCTCAAATGTTGTTGAAATGATCAGGAATTGGAATTGAGTCAAACGTCATAAGTTATATTATAGAGAGTGAATGCTATAAGAGTAAGGCAAATTAAAAGCTTGATGGTAGAAACAGGTTATGGCTCTGCTAGAATAACATAGTCGGTTTGAGGCGGAGAACAGCTCAATAGTATTCTAAAGACTTATGATTATAGAAAACCTTTTTGGGCTTCGCTTCTGAAACTATCAGATATTTCAGCAGGGAACTAAATATAGTTACCTTATGCGCAGTATTTAACACTGCGTTTACCATATAGAGTAAGGCAATGAAGCTATGAAATGGGTTGCAAACTGCAGTGGTAATACTATGCTAAAAACTATGCAGTTGTATTTCCATTTATGAAAAAAAAGCGCGCATTGCTCCTACCAATTATGGACATTACATGATTCAATTGGTGGCATATAAACAAACAAACCATTTTTTGTGCACCAAATACTGCATACCGACAAATAAAATTTTAAAAATAACTGTGGTAGATATCAATATGCGTCTCTTATTCAATCATTTTGAATTATTGGTCCACATGTTATAAGAGAGAGAATTAATTGTCGTGTGAGATTGGTTTCTTCGCAAAATTTTTCTTGCTTCAAAAAAACTCGTATTAAAAGATATTGAAGCTTTTGAATATTATCATTTTGGATTACAAAACCGTGATTAAAATTCACTGTGACTAGAAAAACTGGGCTGATTTTTGGCTATTATAGAAATAATAATTATCATAATAAATAGTTTAAGTCATCACACGTACAGAATTACAAATGAAGAATTTATTTTTACAAAAAAATATCACTTGAGATACCGCCGTAAGACTAAATTAAGCCTGTTTTCAGGCGTCTCAGAGCCTGTTTTCAGGCTACTTTTTTTGGTACCCTTAAACTTAAGGGGAAAGAAAACCATGGCATGAGAACCCAGCTTGATCGCAAAAAAAACGGTAAATATTTTACCGTTTTATCGTAATTGCGAGATTACCAGAACATTTCCTAATAAAAATCATAATCATAATAATGATTTTTAAAAATAATGTCAAAACAGTGAAGGAGGCAAATCCAGAATTATTATAATTTAACTACAAAACAGATTGTTTATCAGATCACTATTAGCTTGAATAAAATTATCTAGAAATTGATGGTTGAGGTTGTTTAGTTCCTGCTTAGTCAAACTTTTTATCAATTTGTAAAACTGAGAATCAAAAAGAGCAAACTGCCGAAGTGTAACGTGTTTTTGGCAGCAATCGAGTGTATTACGACAGTTCTCGCTTTGTTTCTTTTAGCTGAAATTTTCTGTTCCTTTTCTTAAGTAAACAATTTTTGTGAGATTTCAGATTGGCATTCATTACTTTGCAAAAAAACTTTTAGCAGTTCATAAGTGAGTAATTATTTAATGAAAAAATTCTTTTTTGTTGTTTTATAATCTTTTTTGATTCGAATTGTTTTGTCAGATATAAATTTTACAAGACGTTTCAGGAGCATTTCTCGGTATTCCAATTTTGTT